GAACACATGGATGGGGATACAAACATCATAACGTCACCCTTGGATATTGACAGTTATGATAAAGGTGGACTTGATTTGTTTTTAATTAATACTCCTCACAGCATTGGTTAATTAGGAACAGCACCCTGCTTGTAAACACTTTACAATTAACAACACATTTTACAATCAAAACACCAGCTGCAGGATTGTTTTAATTCTTTCTCTGAGCTTTCTCAAAATTTCCCTGAGAAATGTTTGGGAAAATTTATCTGACTGTCCCTCTGACCAGGCTGTCAGCCCCCACTGGGTGACACGAAAGGTGACGCCCATCTCATCCCAGCACAGGGATTTTGATCCTGGCCCTTCTGGTACTGTGGGGCAGCATTCCTGGAAAGGGATTGTCAAAGGAGGAGTTTGCAATAAGCTGAGCTCAGTTGGGGGCCAGCTCATCCTAGCTCCTGGTCATCAGAGGTGCTCTGGGTGGTTTTCATGACTTCATGCAGCTCAGTGGGCTCCTCTTCTGTGGAGGAAGAGCAAGAGGAAGGACTCTGTCAAAACCCTGCATCCATGCTCATCCCAGATGCAGGATCCTCTCTCTGCCTCTTGCTGGGCAGGGGAAATCTTTCTGAACTGCTCTGTGGGAGCCTCAAGTTATGGTATTATGCACTTTGGTGTGTTCCCAAAATTCTTGTTTGCAGAGCTGGATGCCACTCATGTAGTGCCACCTCATGGGCTTCCTACAAATATTGGCAAATAACATAGTGTTGGACTTTTTCCCTCCTTTCTTCCTTGCCTAATGCTCATTCAATTACAAGAGTGCTTGTAATTATTCCATTCCATTAAAAAAAAGGTCTTTAAAAACTGAACCATTAATCAAATATATGTCACAGTCTGTGTGCTTTGAATTATAAACTGATGTGCAGTCCATCTTTTCCTGTATGTGGCTGGCAAAGAGTCTGGCCCAATTTGTCTGAGTTTTTCTGTAAACACACATCAAGGCACTTAGAGCAGAGAGTCTGGCCAGGAAAGGTCAGGGGTTTCTCCTTGAAAAGAAATTCTGTGTAAGGACTGTGCAGATCAAACTGTACAGCTTCCCTGGGGTCAGAGTTTTCTGATAAATACTGCAGTGATGTTTACTACAGGTAAAATCACCAAAGGTTTGGGTCCTGGACCGTGTTTTCATGCCTAGATACCTGAAATTATGTGGCTACATGAATAAATGGATTAAAGTGAAGAATAGTAATGAAAATAGCTGATTATGAAATGTGTGGAAAAGCCCCTGAAATCCTATGCATGATTTTTAAGCATTGTTCCTCTGTTCCCTGAGACTTTCTGGGATTCACATCAGACACTGCATGTGCCCCATGTGAGCTCCTGTGAAGAAAATGAGCTTTATCCCAGCCAAACCAGCGCACCTGGACAAATCAGAATTGCACTGTGGGACTGGAGGGATTACTAGATACAGAAGCAAGGGAAATCTCCACAGCATTAATGGAGGGGTTTAGCTCCTCATAGCTGGAGCTGTGTTTGCTGGGAACCCTGTGCAGGTGATTCCTGCAGGGAGATGCTGTTACTGGGCCTTGGAATGCAGTGTTTGTTTTCAGCCAGGCAGCCATTGTCATTGGGGCCAGTCATCAGTGTGGGGTGGAGATTGGTCTGTCTGAAAATGTGTCAGAGTAGTCACTTAAAGGGGAACAAAGTGGCCAGTGCAGGATCTGTGGATGCCCCCATGGGCATTCCATGTTTCAGCAGCTCCCCTGGGTGCTCATCTCAATCCTCTGGGTCCTGACATGTGTGGCTGCACAGGCAGGGTTGTGTCCCCAAGCCCAATTTCCATCCCAGCACTGGCACCATGGAGGCAGAGTTCCCTCAGCTTGGTGTTATTTGCACTCTCTATCCAAGTGCTGCCACTCAGAGATAACCCCAGAACTGAACAACAAAGTGCCACAGCTTGCAGGAATTCCCTGGCATGTCCTTCCTGCCTGGCTAGCAGGGAAGGGGAGCACTGGAGGCAGGAGAAGCTGATTTCCCCAGGGCTCACCTGACAGTGCTGCTTCTGTTTGCATCCACATGACAAGTGGCTGCTGCAAACCTGCCCTTATGGCAGCCAGGCCCCGTTGGCATCACTGAATGTGGGTTTTGATGCTGAGTTTCTGATGCCTGACACCATTCCAGGGGAGCACAAGCTGTCATCTCCTGGCTGCTCCCAGCATCTGATACACACACACAATGGACAGAGGATTTGGGTGCAGTGGGAAGCAGCTGGAGATGCTGGATGTGGTGGTGGTGTCCCTCCAGTCTTACCTGGCTCCTCCACTGTTTCCTCACAGTTGATGGTGAAAGGAAAGGAGACCAAGCTGCTCTGCCTGGCCAGAAAGGATGTGCTGCCTGCTCCTGGCAGCAGCAGCCATGCCCATGATCTGATTTTTAATGTGGTGAGTGAGCTCTGGAGCTGAGCTGTGCTGCCCAGTCCCCACCTGTGAGCTCCTCTGCTGATGTCCTACCCTCTGAAGGGCTCCAAATCCTTTATTCCTCATTGAGTGCCCCTCATTAGGGGCATTTTCCCAAGTGAACTCCAGTCTATGAGAAAAGGAGAGAAAGCTCCCAATGATGGGGCAGGCAGAGCCTCCTAAGGATGCTAAGCTAAGGATATATTAGCTGTTGTTCATAAGCTCTGCTTTGAACCAAACCCTGTGGCTTAAGAGCTGTAAAACACATGAGGAGACTGTCAGTCCTTCGAGATGAGCAGTCCCTTAGAAGACTTGTTGGCTAAAATATACATATATATACATATACATATACATATACATATACATATACATATACATATATATACAGAATTGTTGGCTAAAAAGGAATTTGTGCAACTTCTCCTTCGCCATTTCTGTGGGTTGGAGGCTTCAAACAAGCAACTCGTTTACAGTCTGAGTTGTTCTGCTTTGCTTCTGTCTCTGTGTTTTGGAGGAGAGCAGACTTTGGGACTGCAGCAGGAGGCTTTAGCACACTGGAATGCAGTTTCATTTAACATCTATATTTCCTTGGAGTGCCTTTAAACAAGACTTGACGTAAACTGTGAGCTGAGAAGGAGTGTCTGCTACAGCTTTCTATAGATTTCTTGGAAGCTGCACTTCAAAGGAAGGCTCCCCAGCTGCAGTTAGCATTTTTTGCATCTCTAATTGCAGCCACTTTCTGTGCTTTCAGGGAATAATCTGTAGGATATGATGATCTGAACAAATTGGTAAGATAGCTGGTCTGTAGTAATTATGCCTGCAGTGGGCATGTGGAGTTTGACTGGGCTGGAGCCAGTGAAAGTGAAGTAAAAAATACCTTGACAATGCCAGAATATGAAATATTATCAGATCTCAAGACTTGAATGACTGAGGCCAGACACAATGAGCAACATGGGGCAAGGCATTAGGGAAGGGAGTCACAAATCCGGTGTGAACAGGAATTCCAGCCCCAGGAATGCAGTCCACTGAGGTCTCACAAGTGTTGTGGCAGTGGATTTCAGTACCCCTCTGATTCCCTGCCTGCCTGACTCCAGCCTGAGAGTTCTCAGCTGCTGCTTGGGCAGGTTCCTCCTCCTGGTCACCACACACATAATTGGCGACTTATTTTGCTTTCAGTGAAGGTGATGCAGTGTTCTGATGCCCTGGAAATAGGGAAAAAACACCCCACAATTGGTTTGGGCAGGGCAGTTTACAAAGAGAAGTGACTAAATCAGCTCAGTTACCTTCAGGTTGTGGAGCTGATGGGTGCTTTGACTTCCAAACCAGGGGAACCCCTGAAGGCCGAGTCACCAGGGGCAGGTGTGAGAGGGGTTTATTGAAACTTCAGTGGCAGAAAAAGAGATGATATTTCAGGGTTACTGTTCTGAGTGGAAGGTAAATGCTTTTCATCTTCTACAGTGCTGTATCAGAACTGGACGAATGGGACAGTTTAAATCAATGATATAAAGGAAAAGGCAGAGACAGGAAAATACCTTTAATGAAAAATGTTTCTTTTCCCTGTTTTTTTTCCCCTAGTTCAAATGTCAGTTCTGTAATTCCTGGATTATTCTAATCTCCAATGCTTAAGATAGAGCTTTTATTCTTCACTTAGTAGCCTGATAGACAGGCTTAGCAGGAATTTACAGAACACTCAGAGGCAGTGTGCAATTACATGAGGAGGATGAGACTTGAACTGCTCAGCCAGGGCAGGATGCTGAAGGAAAGCCCTGAGAGAAGGAGCTTGGGGAGGAAATGTGGCTGTCTGAGGGGTGTCTGTGCCTGCTGGCTGCTCAGGCTCTCTCTCTCTTGCAGATGATGTCCCCATACGAACCTGGTTCCCAAAGGAGAACCTCTTCAGTTTTCACACTGCTACCACAACTATGCAAGCGTAAGTGCAACCTCTGCTGTGCCTTTTGTTCTGTGTCTCAGGGTCTGGACGTGCTCCTGGAGCAGGAGTTGTGTGTTTGGCATCACTGTTCAGGGATAAGAGAGAAACTTGTCTCTTGTTGATTTTCTTTCCTACTTACTATTCTTCTCTACTGCTCTCATTTGGTTTTACCTTCTTTACCTCCCCGGGTACCCTGCTCTCCTCTGTTCCCTGATTTTGTCTGTGACCCTGTGCCTGGCTGTCTCTCAGAGCAAGGCTCCTGTGGCTCACCCCGAGACCCTCCACCAGCTGCTGCTGCTGCACTCACTCCCCAAGGGAAGGGTGTTCCAGGCTTGCCCTGCATCCCTCACTCCCCAGAAGTGCCTTCCTCTGGGATAAGGAAGCCCTGCAGCTCTGTGTGTGTGAAAAAGTGTCAGTAAAATGCCTGCAAAGTGTGCAGGGGTGTGAGTTAGGAGGAGCCTCTCCCTCCACACTCCATGCAGCTCATGGGTGCTGAGTTTGGGAGGAGGCAGCTCTCAAAGGGCTCAGGAGAGTGAGGGAAGCCTCCTCCCCAGGTTGTGCCAGCTTGCCAGGGACTGCTGCCTCCCTGCTTTCGAGTATTTCCCACCTGACTGGAAAACCAGGGTGAGCAGAGAGGAAAACAAGATGCTCTTCTGCCTTCCAAGGCTCTTCCCTAGCCTTGTCACCTTTTCCTGTGTGTTTCTTCCAATGTCTGGGACACCCTCAGCCCTCTGGCTCTGTTTCTTCTTGTCTAATCTTGTGTCCTTTTTGTACTCTCGTTTCTCTGACATTTCTTTCCTTTCTCTCCCCAAATCCTGAAAAGAGGCTGGTTATTTCTCTTGGGATAACCCAGACTGGACCAGAGCTGGAAGGATGCATGCAGGGAGGGCTGGATCTGGAGTTCAGGAGTGGGGTAGCTGCATCCCCCAGAAAAAAACATTTAAAAGATATTGTCTGATAACAATCAATGGTATATCACAGTTCTGATCTGACCCACAAACCATCAGCAAAATCAGCACATTTGGACACAGCCTTTGCTGTCTGAATTTGTATTTTCTGGGCAGATTTGTTGCAGGATGATGGCCCATGGCTGGGCTTGCAAGGCTTGGAGGCCATCGTGGGGTTGGTTTGGGGAATGGTGCCCTGAGGGAACCATGGAGGAGCACAAGTCCCTTGATCGATGTGGCTCCTTGGTTAACATTTCTGGGCTTCTGTGCTGCCTCTGGAAGTGACACGGAAACTCCTCCAGAAGTCCCCAAAGTGCTGGGGTGGCTCTCCAGGTGCCCTTGGCCTCTGTTCCATTGTTTTCAACCCGCTGTTCTCTCTCCCTTCATGGAGCAGCAGCATGAGCCAGCTTCAGCAGTGTTTGCCATGGTGGGAGCAGCTTTCCCTGCTCCAGGAGCTCGTGGTTCTGCAGCCTGACAGGCCACACTCAGCTCTTGTACATCTGCACATCCTCTGGGTCTGTGTGGAGCTCACTTTGCATCCAAGCCACATGTCAGCCCTGCCCCAGGGAGGATTAAGCTCAGTCAAGGAGGAGTCTCACCACTGAGAAATGTTTAATTTAAAAAGCAATTTCCTTCCACCTAACAAGATATATTCCTTCTGGAGTGAGAATTCCCTTAGAACGCTGGCTGGGGCTGAGCACTAATAAATTCCTCTTTTCTCTCTTTTTCTCTGCATCTCCTGGAATCTCTAGCATCTCGTAAGTATAATCTTATTTTATTTTATTTCCTTGTCTGTTGGTGTCCTAGCTAAACTCTCCTCTCCTGTCCATCATATTCACTCGTGCTTTCCCTGTGCTAGGGGCTCTGTCAGCTGGCTGGAGGTTAGGTGGCTACACCTGGTGGGCCTACATGGATCCCACCAAACCATCCTCATCCTCTGAGTGCAGCCCTTGGGCACTGGCACACTTGGAAGTGGAGAGGAGTTCCTCTCAGTGCTGGTGTGCAGAGAGGGTGTGGCTGCAGCTCCCAGGTCCTTTCTGCAGAGCAGGGGTGGTGGGTGTTCCTTTGGACCATGTTTGAGGAGCAGCCCAGGGATAGTGGGTGCTCTTTTGGGCCACGTTCTGATGTTTGAGGGGCACCCCAGGGATGGTGGTTCCTCCTTTGGGCCACATTCTGATTGAGGAGCAGCCCAGAGATGGTGGTTCCTCCTTTGGGCCACATTCTGATTGAGGTGCAGCCCAAGGATGGTGGGTGCTCCTTTGGGCCACGTTCTGATTGAGGTGCAGCCCAAGGATGGTGGGTGCTCCCTTGGGCCATATTTGAGGACCACCTCAGGGATGATGGGTGCTCCTTTGGGCCACGTTTGAGGAGCAGCCCAGGGATGGTGGTTCCTCCTTTGGGCCACCTTCTCCTGTTTGAGGAGCAGCCCAGGGATGGTGGTTGCTTCTTTGGGCCATGCTTGAGGGGCACCCCTGGGATAATGGTTCCTCCTTTGGGCCACGTTCTGATTGAGGAGCAGCCCAGGGATGGTGGTTCCTCCTTTGGGCCACATTCTGATTGAGGTGCAGCCCAGGGATGATGGGTGCTCCTTTGGGCCACGTTTGAGGAGCAGCCCAGGTGGGTGAGGAGCTGTGTTCTGAGTGCCCTGACCCACATGTGGTGCTGCCCAGCCCCCTGGGCAGCTCAGCCTCTGTTGTCTGCCCAGAGCTCCCCTCTGTGTGTCCCTTGTCCCCTCCCAGCTGGACCTGGTTAATGGCTTGCCGTGGTTCCCCAGGGCGTTCAGGGGCTACGCAGAGAGGAAGAGACGGAAACGAGAGAATGATTCTGCAGCTCTTATCCAGAGGTAGGGCCCGTCCCCACAGCTGTGACCTGCTGTTGCATGGGCCCTTGGGGTCACTGCTGAACCCTGGTGCCATTGACTGTGGCTGTCCCTGTCTCTGTGCTGTCCTGGGGACACTGGCAGTGCCTCTGCTGAAGCTGTGCAGGTGAATGATGCTCAGGGATAGCTGATCTCCCTCTTCTTAAAGAACACTGTCAAGTTGCTTTTAGCATTCCACATGATCTGTGCCTCAGGCAGAAAAATACATACTTAAAAAATTAAAGATGCAATTTCCCCATGCCAACTTGGAATTTCGTATCATCACAGAATGGTTTGGATTGGAAGAAACCTAAATTATGATCTAGTTCCAGCTCCCTTGCCACAGGCAGGAATTTGTTTGAGGTTAGATGAATACTGTATGTGCTGTTACTGCATGTACAAATGCACCTCAAAAATCTGAGACCTAGGCAAAACTGACATCTCTAGTGACCAGAAGTCTATTTTTAAGTCTTTTTTTTTTCAATAATAGAAAGGAAATAAAAGTGGATGGGGACTGATTCCTTGTCCAGGTATTACAGAAAGGCCTGGTTTCCTTCTGCAGACTTCCTATGGCACATCATTTACTCACAGTAGGAATCAGAACTGGTTTGGTTTTTTAAATGTGCCCAGAGTTGTGGCAGCCTACTGTAAAGGATAACACAGTATCTGTGTAATTGGTTTAAAACTACCATGATCACTTCAGCACTGTTCAAAACCAAGTGGGAGAAAAACATCAGATTTTCTTAAATGAGAAATTGCCAGGCAATATTTTTTATAGCAACTTCAGAGTGGTGAGGTTGTTTTCATCAATAACAAGGAGAAATAAAAATCCAAACTAAAGACACTCGAAACAAACAGACAGTGTATCTTTAAAAAGAGAGATTTCTCAGAGTTTGTTAGGCAGAGGTAGTCTTGGTTGGGAAATGGTTTGTGAATAGAGGAGCAGCTGTGAGCCTTGGTGGGGCTCTGTGGTCAGGAGGGAGGATGGACTGACCCGAGCCGTGTCCCTGCTCCTGCTGAGCACAGTGCAGGGAGCCTGGCTGTGCCTGCCTGTCCCAGAGAGGAGGTGACAGCAGAGGAGGGGCTCTGGTGCAGGGATTGCTGGCAGAGCTCAGCCCTGCCCTGCAGGGAGTGAGGAGAACCCCACTGTGGGTTTGGTGTTTGCTGTGCAGCCCTTGGTGGTGTTTCAGGGTTCAGCTGTTCTCACACAGCCCCCTCAGTGCTGGCTGGTGTCCAGGGAGGCTGGGATGTGTGGTGTGGCCACAGGGATGCTGCCTGTGGAGTGAGGGATGCCCAGAGCTGTGCCCACTGCAGGAGCAGCCTGAGAGGGGACTGAGAGGTGCTGCCAGGAGTTTGGGCAGGGAAAAGCTCCTGGGCAGAGCGGGGTGCCCCACTGCAGGCAGAGCTGCAGGGTGGAGAGGGACCGCAGTGCCTTGGAGCCCCTCTGGCTGGGATGGATGCCCTGGAGGTGCCATGGGGCCATGCAGACCGTGAGGCACACTGGAGCAGAGCTGTTCAGAAAAGGGAGTGGTAAGGAGATTTCATCACTGAAACGTGAGGCATTCTGGTTGTGTCATGATGGGTGAAGGGATTTGCAAGGGATCAAGTGTCACAGGGTTCCTGGGCAGGTTTGGGGAGCCCCACTGCTCACAGAGCTGTTTGCAGCTTTCCCAGGGCCTCTCATACTGACATGCAGGCACAGAGGAGCCTGAGGAGCCAGGCAGCTGCAAGAAGCCCTCAGAAAGATCTAGATGTTCCCAGCATGGCCACATTAGGAGGCAGTCCCAGACTTGCACTTCTTTTCCAAAGGGCTGTTTTTTCTAGAAGAAAATAGATGGAGCAAAAGGCCTTTGTCCCATTCTGTGAGTGTTTAGTGCAGTGGTTAACCTTGAACAGCTGGATTCTCCTTGGAGCTGCTCTCAGCAGAGTTTAGGAGATGTATTTAGGTCTCTCAAGGGAGAGCCCAAGTTGTCCAGGCAGCTGGGAGCAACCTTCTTCTATGGCAAAGGCTGCTTTACCCCTCTTCCCCCAGGGTCTGAAGAAACTCCTCTGTGGAGAGAACAGCTGAGCATTTAAAAGAAAAGTGGGTTTTACTCCAAAATGCCAAAAGCCCAAAGGATGTGGCAGTGGCCTTGGGCAATTAACAGTGGTGCTCAGTGTTTGCTATGATCTCAGGCTCACAACAGACCATAAAGATTTCCATATAACATATGTCTGAGACTTCTTTGTGTAAAGAACAACCCTGGTTCCTTTAAAATATTGTATTTATTTGGATTTTAGTTGAATGCCCTGTAAGTGGTGGTGCACCCCAGAAGGCTTTGTACAAAGCCAGGCCAGGGATGTGCCTAAAGGGGCACTTGTCTCATCCACAGCAGTGAATCTTTATGTACCCAAGTAGAGACAAAATAAATCTTTGGGAAACATTAATAGCCCAAGTGTAGACAGAAGTTTGGCATGGAACAATGCTGCTCCCAGCTGCTGGTTTTGCTTCTTGCTGAATTTGGAGCCTGATGACAACAAGGGCTCCCAGGCCAAGGAGGGGAAGTGCAGGAGGTGACGTGGGTGCAGTGCTCTCCATGAGCACTGTGTTTGTGTGGATCTCCTGGACAGGAGCAGATGGATCCGAGTTCCTCTGAACAATTTCTTGTCATTGCTGGAAGTGTCTTTTGTTCCAGTCAGTTTGCTAAAGCATCTGCATGGTTGTACCATGTCCTTACTCATCCCACTAACCTGTGTGTGAGCCAGACAACGTGTGACTTACCCCTTTCACCAGCTGTGGCCTCTGTTGCCTGGTGTTTGCCCTGTGTGTTGGGGGCCACAAGGAATCCAGGAAGGCTCCCCCACTGCAGGGTGCCCAGTGCATGGGGCTGCACTGTGGGGTGAAGCCACAGTCACTAAAAAGGGTTCATAGAGAGGTGACACTGCTCTTGATGCTGCTTCTCCCTGTCTCTTCTGGTGTCCTGTTTGTTCCTGTCCTGTTCCTGCCTTGTGAGTGATGAGAAACTGAGAGAAACTGGTCCCTTGCACTTGGAGGGGCTGGACAGAGTCCCTTGGCCATGGCCTCTGAGGAGTGGCCAGGACATTCTGTTTCACACAGAGCTGGCTCTGGGGTGTAGCTGCTCCCCAGGGCTTTCCCCTGGAGCTGTGTGCTCTGCTGGGGTGTAGCTGCTCCCCAGGGCTTTCCCCTGGATCTGTGTGCTCTGCTGGGTTGTAGCTGCTCCCCAAGGCTTTCCCCTGGAGCTGTGTGCTCTGCAGCCCCTCTGGACCTGCCTGTGAGGCCAGGGCAGGGCAGCACATGAGGAGAACAGGCCCATGGGATCAGGCAGCATCACTGAACTCTGCTGTGCAAGGAGGGAGAATGTGCTTTGGTCCTCCCCAGCTGTGCCTGGAGAGCAGCACGAGCTGCATGGTTACCAACAGCACAGGAGGGGTTTTAGGAGCTGTGTTTGGAAATGAGCACAGCCCCCAGTGTGCCGAGCTGGGCACCCCACATTGTGCTGGAGAGAGGGGAGCAGTTACTGCACCAGGAAAAGAGGGAGCACTGCCAGCACTGGTGTCCTCAGCAAATCCAGCACAGGTGAAGCTCAACCAGAGAAAAGGGAAAGCAGCCATGAGCAGAGGGCTGTCCTGTGGGACCCCACTTGCCCTGTACCAGCAGCCCAGGGAGCTCAGAACAGCCCCACTCAATGAACATCTCCATCCCAGCACTAAACCACTGCAGGCTGGGGACCTGGTCTCCAGCTTTGGAATGCCCAGAGGGAAATAGACCATCATCCCCATTTTATTTTCTTTTCTTCCTCCCTGTTTTCACAGTCCTGCTGGGCCCAGGTGCTGCTTCTTGTCTCCTTTCTCAAAGGTTGTGTTTGGCCTTTCTTGCAGGAATTTTCGGAAGCACCTCCGCATGGTGGGGAGCCGAAGGGTTAAAGCACAAAGTAAGTGAGCACTGGAAGTGTGGCTGTGAGGAGCTTGTGGGCTTTGTGGTAATTCTGTCACATGCAGATGTGGGTTGAAAGACCTGGCTTTGGGCTGGAGAGAGGAATTGACCTGTTGGTGCCTTTTTACCCTACAAACAAGAAGGCCAGGTGGTTGTGAGTGTCCAGGACATGTGGATGCCTGCAGCAGCCTGGGGGCTGTTCCCAAGGACCCTTGCTGTGGCTGTGGGACATCTCAGGTGCAAGGCATGGAAGGAAAGCTGCAGCATCCTTGTCCCCTGTGTGGATTTTGGTGATCACTGGGGTGGAGGCCAGTGAGGAGAACCCAAGCTGGGAGTTCAGCAGAGCTGCCTGGCCTCTCTCTGCAGCTGTGACCAGCTGTGGCTCCATGTGCCACACAGACTGCTGGCTGTCCCCTCCTGCCCTGTCCCACTGTCATCTCCACAGCTGGCCCTGGGGGAGAGTTGCCTGGGGGAACTGAGATGATGGTGGAAGGAAGAAAGAAGAGGATCAGAGAAGAGATTGGAGCAAGGGGCTAATCAGGGAATGTTATGCCTCACTGAGGAAGAAATCACCTCTTAGGCCTGCAAAATTGCAGTTCCCTTTCCCTGGTGAAGGCAATAATCCTCCAGAACTTGGTTGAGCAACTCCCTTAGTGCTGTGGAAGTGGTGTAACCTGCTCCTGGGAGCTGAGGATTGCTCCAGAAGAGAAAGCATCTTGTTCTTCCCAACCTCCCTGGCCAGGCATCATGTACAGAGTGCCCACAGCAAAGCATTGCTGAGTTCAATTTGCATTCTTTCCTTTCTCATGTGCTGTGGGAAATGATCAGCAAAGAGCTTTGCCCTTTCCAGAGTCTTCACTGGCATCTGAGTTAGCACTCCCTGACGTGGACAGGGCTTACCTCTGTGAAACTCAGGCTTGGCTTTGCCTGAGGAACTCTTGGGTCATGTTTTCAAAGCTTTCTTTCTGTGCACAGTAGCTAAATGCCTGGGTTTGTCTGAAAGCTGAGGATGGAGATCACCTGAAGAGCTGAAGACATCATTTGTCTCCCCAGACACCCACCCTGGCCACACTTCAGCAGGGGACAGGCTGCTCTTGTGATGCTGATCTGCAGTGAATTCCTGTGCTGCTGTTACTCAATTCCCTGCTGCCCACTCTGTCTGCCACCAGAAATAGGTATTAGTGCCCATAAGTGGCTGTTAATCCTGGCATAATGGCTCTCACATGGGCTTGCCAAGTCAGACACGGTGGTTGCCAGTTCCCAGGAATTTGCCTGCGGTGCGGGCCGTCTGAGCCAAGCTTGGTTTGTGCTTGGGAAATGCCAGTGCAAACAATACAGCACTCCCTGGGAGGAAAAAAAGCCATGAGTAGTGCTCACAAGAGTGCAGGCAAGCAAAGGCTGAAGGATTTCCTCTTTTGCAACAAAATGTAGAAAGCGTGAGCTTTCCAGAGACATCCCCTCCCTGCTGTTTGGTCCAGCTCTGACTGGGATGCCAGTAGAACATGAAGGGAGAATTTACTGGAGCACTACAGCTGCCTTCTGGCCATGCAGGTGTTGCAGTGCATATTTCTGTGAGGCCTTGGAATCTGAGCACTTACACTGGGACACTGGACTGGCCTTGGTTAAACTGAGGTTTGAGCTGTGTGCATTTGAGGAGAGACCATCAAGTGTTGTCCTTTTTCTGTGTTCCATGTCCCATCCTGTGCACAAGTGGGCACTTGTCTCTGCTGTGTGGAAAGGACTCACGTTTGGCAAATGGAAGGAGCAGCCCAAGGGAGTCTGTGATGTGTGGCTTTGGTGGCAATCTGCTGGATGATTTGTTTGCTGGCAGCAGCAGAGGTGCTTTGGGATCTGTTAATGTCGTGCTCTGGTTTTATCCTTTAGCATTTGCCGAACGGCGTGAGAGGAGCTTCAGCAGGTCCTGGAGTGACCCGACTCCCATCAAAGCTGATTCCTTCCATGACTCTCGAGAAAGTGAGTTCTGAGTCCTTTGAGCTTCCTCCTGTGGGCAAACCCTCCAGCAGTTGTTGGCTGGAGTCCCACTGGAGTAACTCCTCTGTGCCCTCTGTCCTGTCTGTGATCCTTTTTTAGTTTCCTGAGATCGGAGCAGGTAACGCTCCAGGTGTATGTACCTGTTCATCTGTGTGTACCTGTATTTATTTGTAGAGCACCACTCATCCAACCTCAGATTATTGAGCAGTTGCCAAAGGGTACCCAGTGGTACAACTCTCTTACTCTGTTCCCATCATCCCTTATCCTCTTGGCACCAAAACAACCTCTCTGGAAACTCAGCAGTCCAAGGCTGCCTTCACCATAATGGGGCTAACATGGCTTCCCATGCAGGAGCCCCTTCTGAGCTCTTTCCTAGCCTGGAATAGCTCAAGAACACAGCTGATGAGATGGAGCTTTGATTTCCTGCACAGGTGATAGCTTGGGGCAATCTGATCTTCATTTGGGCTGCCAGGAATCCCTCTGGGAATCCCCAGTAATGCTGCCATGTTCTGCTTGAGGGGACTGAGATGCTGTTGTGTTCATTTACAGGAAGGAATGCCAGCATCTGTATTCTTATAAAGGGAGTGGCTGTTTTACACAGATTTTATTGCAAGCCTGTAGGCAGGAGCTTGGTGGATATGAGTTTGCCCATGTTGAAGTGAATTTCACTAATGAAATGACCTGATCTACCAGGTAAGCACGAGATCTGGCCCTGCTAGCTGTAGAAGACCCAGGTTGCAAGGGGAGGTGTATCAAAGGCCAGGTTCACAACATGACCCTGTTGTTTGGCAGTCTGACTCCTCCCTGCTCCCTCAGCTGCCCGGAGGCAGATGGAAAAGCCATGGGAAAGCCATGGAAAGCCATGGGAAAGCCATGGGAAAGCCGTGGTTGACACAGGCTCCAGGCACTGCCCAGCGACACTCGGACGTCCCCAAAGGCACAAACACCGGCGCCTCGGTTCTCTTTCCTCAGTCCAGCAACCATCTCTGTTTTTAACCTTTAATGGTCAATTATATTCCTTCCAGATGTTTTTTTCCCCAGGAGGCATTGAAGGCCAACAGGTAAGGTCGATTTGGAGAGCAAGTTCAAGTCTACTGTTGCAATATGACTGTGTTTGTTGCAGCTGTCCTCACGCACGCTCTAAGACTTCTCTGCCAGGATCAGTCTGACCCACAAGTCAGATTTTCTTTATGATCCCTGAAAAGATGTAGTCAGAGCAGTAATTACTACAAGGAGACCAGCTTTGAAGTCTTTGGACTTCTGCTTATCAGCCTGGCAGTGCTGAAGTGTAGAGTCTGTCTGTGTTCTGTCTCCTTCCCCATTTCTGGAGTGACAGGGTGACTGTTGTGACTTAGCATTTGAAAACCAAGCTTGGTGACTGCGAGAGTGCTGAAGTTCTGTGACACGTGACGTGAGCTCTCTGTGCACTCTTCATTTGTTACGTGTTTGTCTGTTTGAAGGCACCAGCCCCAGAGTGGTGTCTGTCACTCTGTGGTGACAAGAGAGCACGAGTGTCGTGGCACCTCTTGTGAGGAAGCTGCCAAGGCAGGATGGAGTGGGGAAGGCTGTTCTGCCCTTGTAATGCTCCCTGCTGTGTTCTGGCAGGCCATGACCTTCAGGATTCCTGCGGGACTCTGGATGGTGACTTTGACTTGAACTGGGAAGCAGAAAAGGAACTTGAAGCCATGGCATGTGACGGAGAAGACTTTATTCCACCAAAAATAATGGTGAGTGTTTCCAGCGCATGCTCTGCCTGTCCTTTCAGTGCTGCTGAGTTCAGGATCTTCATGGGAAGTGTGTTGTATAGGCACAGCCTCAGGGGTCTGTGAGGGTCACTCAGAGATGAACCAAGACTTGACACAGGCTCAGATCAGGTAGTGCATTGAAATAAAACTAGAAGGAGGGATCTGTAATCCAACTCAGAGCAGGACTGACACCATTGTATTTGCAGGGAATGCCCCAATGAAGGCAGGAATGATGCATCTGACTCCATGTTCTCACAAGGCTAATTTATTACTTTATAATACTATATTATATTAAAGAATTCTACAATATACTATACTAAAGAATACAGAAAGAATACTTACAGAATGCTAAAAAGATAATAATGAAAACTCCTGACTCTCTCCAGAGTCCTGACACAGCTTGGCCCTGATTGGCCGAGGAGTGAAAACAACTCCCAGCAGAATGCAATAGAACAATCACCTGTGGGTAAACAATCTCCAAACACATTGCACATGAGCACAACACAGGAGAAGCAAATGAGATAAGAATTGTTTTCCTTTTCTCTGAGGCTTACCAGGAGAAAAGTCCTGGGTGAAGGAATTTTTTCAGAGAATGTGAATGCCACATGACACCAACACAGAACCAAGTCAGCCTGAGGCTTGTTAACCCTGAAAACAGAGACCTGAGCACCACTGCCAGCTCTGCTCCCACACTGGAACTGAGGGACCTGGAATCACACAGAGTTCAGGCTCTGGTGCTGCTGGAGCCAGCTGAGGCTTCAGCCAGAGTTGTCAGGCACTGTCTGAGCCCTGCAGCCCTGTGCCTGCTGTGCCTGGTGCAGGGCCAGATGATTATGTTATGTTATGCTATATTATACTAAAACTATACTAGAGAAAGACAAGGATACAGACAGAAGGTTTAACAAGAAAAAATAATAAAAACTCGTTGACTGACTCCTCAGAGTCCGACACAGCTGATGGTGATTGGTCATTAAGTCACAAAAACAATTTACATGAAACCAATCAAACATGCACCTGTTGGTAAACAATGTCCAGACCACATTCCAAAGCAGCCAAACACAGGAGAAGCAAATCGGATAATTATTCTTTACATTTTTCTCTGAGGCTTCTCAGTTTCCTAGAAGAAGAAATCCTGGTGAAGGGATCTTTCAGAAAATATCAGAGTGACAGGATACAGCCATCCATGGTGGTGCACAAGCTGCTCCATCCTCTGTGCACTCCGGTGTCCCCTTTCCAGCCTGTTCTGGGCCCAGTGCAGCCTGAGGGCAGAGCTGTGTGCTCATGTGGACTCAGGGGGTGCTCTGGGCTGGAAACCTTCCCCTGGCATGTGGATAAACTGGGTTAGCTGCCCCTCGAGTCACACTGAGACAGCTGAGCAGGGTTTATGGCCTTTGTGCTTCTGGCCAGACTCTGCTGCCTTCTCCTCATGCTGCTGCACCTTTGTTCCCCTTTGCAGCTCATCTCTTCCAAGGTGCCCAAAGCTGAGTATGTCCCAACAATCATCCGCAGGGACGACCCCTCCATCATCCCCATCCTCTATGTGAGTAAATCCCTTCTGCTGTGATGATAGCACGAGTCATACAGACACTATTATCTCCCTAGTTCATGTTAGGGTGACTCCAAAATGCTGATGTGATTTGGAAAAGCTGTCAGGTGTGCTGAGCCCAGCTTTGGGGTCTGGGGGAGCTTTGTGGGGGCTCAGGTCTAGGTGGAACAGCCAGGTGGGGTGGAAATGACACATGTGGGCTCTGGGCTCTGCAGCCCAGCCAAGCTGTGTGGGAGGATTGCCAAGGAAAGGCAGGGCAGGCATTGCCAGGCTTAGGGCTCCTCCTTATGCTCATCCTTGGCATGAGCAGCACTCAGAGCTCAGCAGTGAAACACCAACCCCATCTCCCCATGGGCAGTGGGACATCCCTGTCAGTCATTAATTTAACTCTGGCTTTTCCCTGGGAGTCTGGCCTGAGCAGGGGTCAGATACAGCAGTGAGGAGTCATGGGTTTCTTCTTCTAATGATTTAATTTGCAAGGGAGGGTGGGAGTGGGAGCCCAGCAAGGGCACTGCCTTGTGCAGCAGGCTGTGCTGCTGGGGTTTAGCCTTGCTGCTCTTGTCTCTCTCCTTGGAGGGTTGTTCAGTGCTCCTGCTGACCCTGCTGTGGCAGGGGCAGCTGTGCTGGGAGTGCAGCTGTTTGTCAGCCAGCTTGGGCAGGGGTAGAGCCAGAGTGGCTGCAAAACACAGGCAAACAGGCATTGCTGATGTTGACTGCATCTGAGGGACAGTCTGTGCTTTGGGTGTGTCTGCAGGCTTCAGCTGCAAGCTTTGGGTGGATTTGATCTTCATGGACTGGTCAGCTTCTGTGCTGAGATGTGGTTTGGGGTGAGGGTTACTGCTGCTGTGACCAGCAGCCATCAGTTGGTGTAAATGTGCTCTTAAAGCATCCTTGGAATGGATTGTGTGGTTGTTAGGGAGCTGGTGGAGTGACAGTGAGCCTTTACATGTCTTCTCTCTTGGTTTCCAGGACCATGAACATGCCACCTTTGATGACATCCTGGGTATGTGAGTTTTACCTCCTTTTCTATCTCCTGCCCATTGCAAATGTAACCATCAATGTTTAAGTCACTTAGCTGCCCTGTGCTTCAGCTGCCACTCAGAGAGTTGTTTTTGTCACCCCAGTGACCCCTGACAGTCAGCTGGCTGCTCTTGGATGTGCTGCAGCAATAAACAGTCACTTGGACCTGTTTTGTGTGCTGAACTCATGGTCTGCAGCAGGGAAACCGAGGCACAGGGCAGCAGCTGCCTGTTCATTGTACCTGTGGTGGGGAGTGGGAGCAGTGACAGAGGCCAGGAGGGCTGGGGCTGCTCCAGAGCTGTGGTCACTGCAGAGCAGTGGCTGCTGCTGTTCCATCCTTTCTCTGTCACCTGCTGACATTCCCTGCTCCCACAGCATCCTTGGCATGTTCTGAGCACCCCCATCTCAGCTTCCTGCCCTCAGGACTAAGTGTAAAGAATTGAGATTAATTTTGACCTTTTTCCATGGTTCATCTTTTCCAACATGTTTTGTTTGGTTGGGTTTTTTTGTTTTTTTTTTGCAGAGGAAATAGAGAAGAAGCTGAACATTTATCGGAAAGGCTGCAAAATCTGGAAGATGCTGATATTTTGCCAGGTACATGAAAGTTGTTAAGCCCTTGGGTGGTTTGTTACAAATTTGTCATTTTCTGTGGGGAAAGTGACATAGAGGAACCAATATTCCAAAGTCAGCTTCCATTAAAGTCGCTGCCAAGGCACAGCTTTCACTTCCCATTTCCCAGACATGGAGCAATCCCAAGTTGCTGAGACAGCAGGAAATCAAACCTGATTTAGTGAGGCCAAGTCAGGAGCTGGGCTGATTCTCTCAAGGAACCCCAAACAAACCAGCATCAGCACTGACCTAGAAAGGGTTTCAGAGAAGGAAGAAGCACTTGCAGTGTCATGGTTATGGTTTCCATCCAGTTTCAGTGTGACAGTGACAGTGGTTGTGGCTCAGCTGGGAGCCAGAGGATGCAGAAGCAGGGTCAGGCTGGAGCTGTGGCTGGGACAGTCCAGGCCCTGCTGGATTTGGGGGGTGCTGGGGATTTCCTTCCCAAGTTTGCTGTTCCTGTGTCAGCTGTGGCTTCCCCAGCAGCTGTGCCACGAGAAGTGGGAAGGGTGACCTGACTTAGCTCCCTGCAGGTGCCCAGAGCTGCAGAGGAGCAGCTTTGCTGCACACTGACCTGAGATTGTGCCTGTTGATGTTGCTGCTGCTGTGTCAGTCTGTTTGTGCTCCTGCTGCCCCAGTGCAGCTCCTGTGCAGTGCCAGCCCTGCTGCAGCCCCTGCTGTGCTCAGCTGCTCCTCTGCCCACCCCCAGCATCCCCCAGTGACAGCGACTTTCTTGTCTTCCCTGTTACTCTCCAGCCACCCACAGTGGCGTTTTAAACCTATTTTTGTGCCTTTCTAGAGTGATGTGGGCACGGAGCAGCAAAAACCAGGGAATGCAGCCCCCAGCACACTGCCCGTGTGTGGATGTGTCTGCACTGCTGGGCTGCCCTGCTCCCTTGTGGCACTTCTGGGAATGGCTGGGCAGGACAGGAAACGAGTCCAGGGTCTGTACAAAGGGGTTTCCATCTGTCTGTCTGTCTGTCTCTTGCAGGGAGGCCCCGGGCACTTATACTTGTTAAAGAACAAAGTCGCCACTTTCGCCAAAGTGGAGAAGGAGGAAGATCTGATCCTGTGAGTGGCTGTGCTGTGTTCATGGTGTTTCTCTGCTGGATTTGCTCAATGTTTGCAGCACGTGGTGGAGGAGAAGTGAAGGGAGCTGGGGTGGCTTGGTCAGGGGATGAGGAGGCTGAGGAGGCACTGAACAGCAGCTCACAGCTCATTCAGGGTGACAGCAAAGGTGGCAGAGCTGAGCTCATCCCTGGAGTGCTGCAGCCCTGTCACCAAGAGATTTATTCTTAAATGTGTTTAGTGTCTCTGTGCATAGAGACTGTCCAAAAGGAGGGATAAAAAGATATTTCTTCTACTGAAAACAGCCTTGCTGACCAGAAATCAGAACATGCACCTCGAGCCTGTGGTGCTGTGATACCATTGCTAAGCTGTGGCTGTGGCAGAAATCCAGGGTGTTCCCCCACAGCTGACTCTGGCCAGGGGGAAATGGAATTTGTCTCTGCAAAGCCTGCTCAAAGTCCAGTCTGTTACTGAGGAGGCTTTTCACTAGCATGCCAGCCTTCAGCTGGGAGTGCTGAGCAATTTTGCTGCTCCTTGCAGAGAGTAAAGCTTTGCCTGTTTTGCTGCCTACTCGCTTGTGCTGGCTCAAACTTGCTTGGCTAACAGTGCCTGGCTGTGGGGGGAGGATGTACACCAACCTGTTCCTACACAACTTTGTGTTGGCGTGAGAACTGAGCATTAAAATCAACATCTGCTCAGCAATCTCGTGCCCTGGCACAAACACTGGCTGTGGAATTCTCCAGCACGTGTGCACATCCAGGATTCTGAGCACATCCCAGGCATAGCTGCTCCCAAGCTGATAAATCAGGGATCTGCAGAAAGCTGAGAACTCACAGCTGAAAGTTGTGGAGCTTGGAAGTGAATGTCTCCATCCAGCCTGTGTGTTCTGGGAGGCAGTGCTGAGGGAAGCTGAGGCTGCAGTCTGGTTGGAGCACCCAGGGAGGAATTTCTGGGCTTTAGAGCCCCCCAAAGTTGCTCCAGCCCTCTGCCCAGGGGAGGGGTTGTGTTTCACATCCCTCAGGCACCAAATGTCACAGTCACTGCACTGTGAGCAGCACCAAGCACAGGCTGACATGGAGCTGCCTGGGCTGTATTGTCTCACTCAGAACAATCTCTGCAGCTGTTCCTGCTGATTTCATGGCCTGGAAATGAAGCAGTGCACTGATAAGCCTCGTGTTCAGAAAGGGCAGTTGTTGATAGAAACGGGAGAGAGGAAGCTGGAGGGGATGCTTGGTGAAACTGTCGCTGCAGAGCACTCCTGGGGGACTCTGCTCCCTTCTCCTCACCTTGGAGCTCCCTTGGCTCTGTGGGCTGCTCCTCCTTCTCTGCCACATGACTTGGACCTGCTCCTCAGGCCCTGACTCTGCTCCTGTTCTTCCTTGTCTGGGCTCCAATGGCCCTTCCTGAGCAGTTTCCTGCCCAGGGTACAAACCTTGGGCCCTGCCTGAGTGCTGTTACACACATCCTTGGCATTAATCATGCCTATGAGGAGAGATATTTTTTTTAATGATGTGTTCTGTTTTTTCCAGCTTCTGGAAGAGGTTGAGCAGGCTGATGAGTAAAGTCAATCCTGAACCAAATATCATCCACATCATGGGCTGCTATGTTCTTGGAAACCCCAATGGGGAGAAGGTAGGAGCCTGTGGGTCAGCCCTGGGATGTCACACTGGGAGCTCCAAACCTGTCTCTTGTGCTGGCTGGGAAGGTGCTGCTGGCCTGTCTGTGGGAGCTGTGAGTGGGAGAACCCTCTGGATTGTGGGGCAGGGGAGGAGGGATTAGTGATGTGCAGGATAAATAATGAAACCTTTGAGGAGAGGAGCAGTTCAAAGCACTTGGTTTGTTGATTTACTGGTGAGATAGATGTTTTAAAGGACATGGGTGGAAGGTTTTCCAGAACAAAGATGGGCAATTCTGGGTGCTCAGGATTATCACTGTTTTCAGCTCTTAACTCTGGTATGTTTTCCTTTCAGCTATTTCAGAATCTGAAAAACTTAATGAATCCTTATAGGGTTGCCTTTGAGTCTCCACTTGAACTATCAGCTCAAGGTAAATAATTTCATGTGCAAAGACACACAGACACCCCTTGCTGACCAGTCTGCCTCCTTTGGGGGGCATCTTCATGAAAAAGCAGTTTTGACTCCCTTAAGTCCTGCCATGGTCTTTGTTTTGCTTGTAACCACCTTGTGTAGCTCAGCTGCTGCCCCTGGCTTTCCCCTTGCAGTTCCTGCATCTGTTCACATTTCAGATGCCCTGTTTGTTGTGCCTGAGGCCTCTCCCAGGGTCCTGGCAATGCAGAGGAGGAGAGAGCTTTCCAGGCTGGGTGTAGGAGATCCCATCATTATTAGGGCATGAGGAGTCTGTGGGGGAAATACACATGGAGCAGAACCTTTTCTGTAGCCAGGTGTGCTGGGGTCTCTTCTCCAGAGCTCAAACCACTGGCACCAAGGGAATTATGTCAGAAAACAATGGGGATGTGGCCCATCAGGGCCATTCTACAGCTCAGTCTGCTGGCCATTTTCCCTTTTTTTCTGTAGCTCAAGATATTTCAAGAAGCTCTACAGGATTTTTCCTGTTCAGTGTCAGTAATTCACAGAGCAGTTTCACAAGTAACAGATTCTGAATTTGCCCATGTTATTTTATCTTTGCTGTAGTTCTTGGCCAGTAAAACCATGCAGGATTCAGCTGTAGGCACTTCTCTGCTGCCCACAGCTCTGGTCTCAGCACTGATGGGTTTTTCTTGCCTCCCCTTCACCCTCAGGAATGTGCAGGAGTTCAGCACATTGGTGCTCAAGTGTGCAGAGCTCACAGAGTCTCAGAACTCACAGAATCACAGAATCAGTCACAGAATCAGTCACAGAGCTCCCAGAATCAGTGTCAGACTGGTTTGGGTTGGAAGGGACCTTCAGGCTCCCCCAGTTCCAGCCCATCCATGGTCAGGGACACTTCCCTGCATCCCAGGCTCTGTTCATGTTCAGTTCCCTGTGCAAGATCAGTTCAGCTGCACACAGGGGGTGCCTGCACAGGAGCAAACAGGCTGGGATGTGTCCAGGAGCAGCTTGCAGGGAAATTCCTGGGTTTGTGGGCAGCTCAGCAGGCCAGGCAGTGGGTTCTGTGTGCAGGCATTAGAGCAGCTCAGCTTTCAGGAGGCTGGGCTGAAGAATACGTCTGAATTTATCCCCTTGATCAGTCTGGGACATGCTAAGAGTGTACCCTTGTAATCCTTTGCAAAGTCATCTAAAACTAATCTTAATCAGGCCTCACAAGTGAAAATCCCCTCCTTGAGCCCTGTCTGAGTGCAGGGTTGTTTGCCCTTGTGTTTTCAAATGCACCTCCTGGCTGCCCTTCAATCAGAGGGGCTGGGGGGCACAGCTGGCACTGGTGTGTGCTGGGAGCTCATTGCTGGCAGCACAGACAGCAGCAGGACAGGGATGGCCTGGTTATTAAAAAAATATGTATTTTTAAATTGGAATTGTCAGTGTTAATTATTTTTAGTGTTTCTTTACAAGAGTTAGCTCTTGTTTTACAGCCCCTGAAGTCCCTGTGCCTCATGCAGGCTGTGGCTGATCATCTCCAGCCCCCAGCTCCCCTCAGCCCTCAGAGCAGAGAGCTCAAAGTCTGGAGACAGACTTTGTGCTCAGTTCCTGCCCCCAGGGACAAACCCTGCCAGGGGATTACAGGGAGCTGTTCATGGTTGAGGAGATCTGAAAAGATCTTTGGCTCTCACGGGCCCCTCCACGTGCCCAGTGTCAGCGTTTGCCATGGCTGTGTCACAAACCTGGGGGTTTGTGCTGCTGTGTGCTGCCACCTCTCCCTCGTGCCCCTTTCAGGGTGTGACCCCTCTGTGCCCCTTTCAGGGTGTGACCCCTCTGCCTGGTTTCACTCCTAGGTAAGCAAATGATTGAGACTTACTTTGACTTCCGCCTTTACCGCCTCTGGAAGACCCGCCAGCACTCCAAACTGTTGGATTACGATGACATTTTATGAGCTGGAGAAGCCTTTGCAAGAGGAAGCTCATCACCAGTGTCCAAGAAGTCATGCTTTATTGCAGAGAGACTTTTTTATTGGCACGGGGAGCCCTTCACAGCCCTACAGGAGGCAGCAGCGCTAAAGGGAGGGAAGGAGGAGCCCTCGGAAGCAGGAAAAGGCTCCTGGGCCAGGAGAGACTGCAGGGACGGGGGTGACAATGACGGTGACACCTCGCTGGCCTCAGTCCGAGCCCCGGGGCCTCAGGAGGAGCTGTGTGAAACGAGGACAGGATGGAGTTCCTGGCAGAACTGAGCTGTTTTGGGTCAGAATGGGCCAGATTTGATTCCAGGTCCTTTTAAAGACTTTTGAAGCTCAGGTTTTCTTACAAAAAAAAAAAAAAAACAACACAAACCCAATTAACCCATGCACTACAGTGAAGAAGTCACCAGAGCACAGAGGGAGCAGGGGGTTGTCCTGGTGGGACTTTCTGTGCTGGGAGTCCTGGAGAGCAAGGACTGCTACACCTACTCCTGCAAGCTTAGAGCAAGATGATCCCATTTCCATGTGAATATATACTGGGATATAGAATTGAAATCTTTTTTGTTTGTTTTGTTTAATAGAAAATAAGTGCAATTTTTATAGCGAGGGAGGGGGTAAAATCCCTCCTGATATTTAATTAGTTAAAAATAACACACCATAACCAATAGATGAGGTATTTTTGGTCTGCTTGAAAATATATTCAGAATGGTAATATATCTTCTGTAGACATATTTAATCACCAGCAAACATGGTTTTAACATAAGTTAGCAGACCCTGCATGTCTGCTGCATTGGTTTGGTTCCTTTCAGAGTAGCTGTGCTGCACTACCTGTACGTGCTCTCACCAATGTGTAGTTCTCCTCCAGTTAGCCACAACTTCATTACTTTCTACTTTGCTGCTTGCAAAACTATGGAACTTTAGTTTTGCTGAACTACTTTAGGTTAGAAACACGGGACCTGGCTGGGAATCCTCTGTCAGGCTCGCTTTGGTATAAAAATGAATTAGAAATCAATAGCCATGGTAATGAATTGTTCATGCCAGTGTTTTGCTGTGTGTTGGGAGAGGAGCTCTCTCCTGTGTGGAGACCCCTCAGAGGGGGCTGAGCACTGAGGCATTTGGGAGAAATGCTTCTGGAGGGACACAGCACAGGCCTGGAGCATGAGTTGGACTCGTTGTTCACTTGATTGCCAGTTGTTTGTGCAGAACCCACCCCTTTTCCCTGACCTGTTTCTTGGTCTGAGCTGCTCAGCCCCTCCCTGTGGAGGACAGAGAAAACCCTGAGCTCTGTCAGGGCAGCCTGAGAGCTCAGGTCTGTACTTGGTATTTGATGGTAACTTTTGAAATCTATTTATTTTTGTTTGGTTGGGTATGGGGGTGCTTTTTTGGTTTTGGGAATGGGGCTTTTTTCACATTCTGCTGTCCTTTCAGAGGACAAATAGTACTTAGAGTCTATGTAGGTCACTGGCAATTCTGGGAGGTGACACAAGTTATTTCTTTTACAAGCAAAGGAAGGAACAGGGAAGGATTACTTTATTTTCCTGATTTCCTGCTATCTCAAATTTCTTGATTGTGAAGTGAAGGAAAATACATGTACAAATCTTCTTTTAATTACTTACAAAGAGAACTTGGTGTTCTGATCTGTAGAGTCCTCCTTCCCCCTGTGGTTGTGATTTTGGGAGCAGGCCCCTGGCTAGAACTGCTGAACCCTTTACATTTAGAGCAGTTTTATAGCAAAACTTTTGAAGAAATAATGTACATACAGTCAGGAGAGGAATGGGTGGAGAGAGGTATTTAAAGTCACTGAAAGCCTCACAGACAGGTGTGGGCTCTTGGGAGCTTTGGTGGCCACGTCTCATCCCTGGACTCAGTCAGGTTTGCCAGACTTACAGTGAAGGGGAGAACAGGCACCAGTCTGTAGCTTTTGGAAGAAAATTGTGCCAGATATAAAAGAAAAAGAACCCCAAATTTATGCCAATTCTGTTTAACATTGGAGCTTCCACCAGCTCTGCGTGAGAGGTGGGAGCCAGAGGTGCACTGAAAGCACAAAGTCATGTTATCTGGAGAAGGAAATGGCTGTGGGAAGATTGAAATGCTGACACAAAACTCTCTCCCTTTCTGACCCTTTCACCTCCTAACTGGAGACAGGCAAACTGTTCTTCCTTTCTCAAATCCCAATTCAGTGAACTTGGTAGCATGAATGTAGCATTGTGCAACTATTGAAAATCTTATTTAACCCCCAAAGGGCCCATTTATGTATCCACTTGAGTGATTTCTCTGTAGAATTGTTGTATATCCTCACTGACCACTTGTACTACTTGGGGTGCAAAGTAGAAGGTAGATTGTACAGTAATTTCTGTGTTGGGATGGACACTATGGACTGTTCTGGTGCAGTTTATGGGATATGACAACTGGTGAATGCATTTCCCTCCAAAGATCTATATTCCTCATAGCTTGTGATGTTTATGACATGAACATATTTTTTCCTTTGTAGCATTCATATGCCTAAAGAGATGAAATTCTCTCAGAGCTGTGACTGGAATAGAGTTGTGATGTTTGATGTCCTGTGTGCGGCAGCATCCTTGGAGTTAACCACTGATGACAGAGGAAAACACCTTTATTCCCTTTTTTCACTGGTGGAGTTCTTCAGGTGGCTGCTGGGAAAGGAAGGGGTTAGCAGAGGCAAATAAAAATAGTAATTATTTTAAAATTTAGAGGTAAAAATAGAGCCTGGAAGTTCCTCAGTGGGAGCAGCCTGTAAGGGATGAGCCCAGCGTGGTCCCAGCCAGGACAGCTCCAAGGCCCCCTGTGCTCCTGCAGCATCCCTGGAGGCTCTGGGGCTCTCCCAGTGCCCTGCCTGGGGTGCCTGTGGCTCTTGGGCACAGGGACAATCTGCAATTCCACTCCAGCTCTCACCCCTGCTCTCGGGGCGTGTCTGAAACCAGTTCTGCCCTGTGCCTCCGGCAGCTGGTGTGCCTGGGCTGAGCAAAGAGCAGCTCCATCCCCTGCCCGTCCCAGCAGGGAACTGCTGCTGCTCTGAGCTGCTCCTCTGAGCCTGGAGCTGCCCTCAGCAGGGCAGCAGGGTGGGGACACCTGGGGCACTTGAACAGAGCAGATGGAACCCAGGTGGCTGAGCTGGGTGCCAGCCCTGGCTGCTCA